GCTGCTATAACAAAATATCCCAGATTACACTTTGGTGGCTGCAAGTCTGGGATCAAGGTTTTGGCTGATTCGATTTCTGGGGAGAGCTTTCTTGGCTTGCAATGTCCTCACGTGGCCTTCCCCTTGTGCGTGTGTGCCTGGGGTGGCAGGAGTGAGTCTAATGGGTATGAGAGAACTTGCTGTTTCTTCTGATAAGACATCAATGCTGTTGGATCAGGGCCCCACCCTTCTTCCCTCCTTTATCCTTAATTACTTCCTTACTCCAAATAGAGCCGCTTTGGGTGTTAAGGCTTCAACATATAAATTTTGGGGAGGAGGCAAGCATTCAATTAGTGCCACCACCAAACAGCTTCTATCACACAAGCTGAGTGCTTTTCAGGTAGTCAGGAAGAGAGGTAGCTGGAATTTGGATGAGCTGCGAGCCTCACGCCCTCATCTGCTCATCCTGTTGCTTGTCAGAAGCACCACTGCAGAGTGCTGGTTAGAGTCATGCCCTCCTGCCACCAGCAGCTACCTCCCTACGGTGTCCCCACACAAGGGTTATTTGACAAGGAGCAATTTAGACAGTTACGAGTCTATAGAAAGATTAACTCCAGCAACCTCTCATCCCTAAGACTTTTCTGAGCCTATTAACCTGTCGCTGTGACCCCTAGCCAGTTTAATAATCCAGAAGACTTCCCAGGGCCAAAAGCCAGCAGACCGAGTCTGGGTCATCTGTTAATAGGGCAAGTAGCTCATGGCAGCATGCAGCCCACTGCTTCAGAGAATAGTCACAAAACAAAAGGAGAAAAACAAGCAAACAGCTTGAAAGAGGAAAGCCTCCTGATTTTCTAAAAGATATCTTATTATGGGCATGGCACTAGAAATACTCTACGGCCAACTGGGTTTTCCCCATTGGCATGTGGTTCAGATTTTCTGTGAACAAGATTATTATTAACAAAGCTTCCTGTTGTACATTCCTTAGAAATCCATGTGTCAAATGGCCACGATATTCAGAAGCGTTTTAAGCCAGAGGCCTCACAACTGACATTCACCCTGAGTGGGTGAACTAAGTAATCTGCTGGCGGGGGTGGGAGGGTAAAGAAAATATTGGAGCTGCTATTTATATCTATTCTTAAATTTTCATCCTTTAATTTCTATTTCGTGAACGTTTTATAATGTGTATGATATTCTTTTCCAGTCAATTGCATTCGCTGGGCTAGGAGGTCGACCCGATGTTCCCAGTGGTTTAACACAATGGAAGCTGACATCTTGCTCATGTCAAGTCCACCTTGGGTGTCCCTTGTTGGGTGGGGCTTCTACATGGTCATTTAGAGGCCTCCGTCTGCAGGGTCTGTCCCCATGCAGGCCCTCAGAGTTGTCTCCATTCCATCAGCGAGCGGGGAGGGGAGCTTGGCACACCAGCTACCGCTCAGCGCCAGCTTCGCTCCGTCGGCCGTGAGCTCGCACCTCTGCTGCAGTAGGACGTGCGTATATTTTTATGAGGATCGTATAACCCTTAGGGCTATGCAATCAAAAATTGGACACCAGTGTTTCAGAAACTGTCAGAATTGGGACTTCTCACCTACAAATTGATTCTTTTTTCCCAAACGAGGTGAACTTTGCAGCACACTTAATGACTGAGACGAGGTCCTGACGGCGCCCAGTTCGAGGCTTCCCACGGCCCGGGCTTCCTGGGACCTGGGATGGGCGCCATCTCCACAGGCTCCATCGGACCAACTCGTTCATTTTGCTGGCCTCTCTCGGTTTTGGCGCTCGGAGTTCTGTGTCCCAGGAAAACCCTCCGTTCCAGGCCACCCGGGACTACTTACCAGGGACTGTCCTGGTTTTAAAACGGGAAGTCCCGTGTTCTGAAAAACTTCTCAGTCAAGGGCAAACCAGGATGATTGGTCACCCTCCTGTCCCTCCAGCAAAGACTCTTTTTGTTAACGCCCGGTGTAGAATTTGTGGCTCTTGGCATCTTCCTAATCTTTCTATCGGAAGCTTAAGTATCAGAAGAGAACTGGATTATTGTGCAAAGAGGGCTGTACCCTCTAACCAGCAAATGAGGAGACAGACTCGGTTTCCCTTGGTGTGGACACGTGGGAAAGGGGGGTCATCAGGGGTCATGATCAACGGGGGCCCCTCCTCCCATGGGAAGGGAATTCAGCACAGCTGCTGCCAACCGTTCTGTCCCATCTGGAGATTTTCCCTGAGGATCTCCTATAATATGACAGAGAATATCTGCCTTCTAGTCCAAAAGAGACCAATCCTTATTCTCATTTTGGTTTTCATGTAATGCAACTGTAATTGTCACTGATTGGTTTTTAAGGACACATTTTCAGAGTTTGGTCCCCCATTGAATCAAACAATGTCTGTCGACAGCTTACTGCAGATGCACTGTCCTGGGACACATCCAGGCATGGACCGCTTAACCGCGGTGGCCGAAGGACAGAGTTGCGTGCTGGAGCGGGTGGTGGAGGTCGTAATGAGCAGGTAGGATGGGATTCTAGGTATTTTAAGGCCGAGCAACACCAGGGGTTCTCAGCAGGCAGCAGCGGAGAAGACGGTCAGCAAGGAGCAGCGCCCCAGGCCTGGCTGCCGGAGAACTATTTTCAGTCTCCGAAAGATGAGAGCAAGAAATTGGACAAAGCCTCATTTCAGAGGGCCTGCGGCTGAAGGCGGTCAGCAAAAGGGGGACCAGGAGCAAAGTACAGCGAGTACGGCTGGGACACGGGGTCAGGATGAGACCAGCAGTGACTAATTGCTTGTAGGGGACAAAGGGACTCGTTTCTTGGGGGAGGAGGGCGCAGAGATATGATGCTGAACTGCCAAACACTCCAGGCTTTGCCCTCCGAGAGCACTCACATCCTTCCTGCATCTCAGTGGCGCCTTATAGCTCTTGTTCACCCAGGACCTCCCCCTCCACACATCTTCTCCATCACTTCCCTGAGCGCCGGGGGGTATGTGCAGGGACTCAGCCCTGGCAGCAGGCTAAGGGGGGGGCACGTGCCTTGCTGGTGTCTTCCCCTAAGCCTTGTGGGTCTCGGGGATGTGCGCCCTGCTATCGTTCAAATCTAGGTATTTTGGGGGCCCAACCCTCGGGTGGAAGTCTTAAAAGTTGGGGTGCTTGATATGTGGTCCTCGGAAAGAAGCTGGGTGTTGAGGGTTCCCTCGGATTGCATGGTGCTGTGCGGGGGTTGGTGTTGTGGCGAGAGCGTGTCTTAGCCTTTTCTTACTCAAATAATACAGTGCGGGTCTTTTCTCTTTCGCCCTATATGTACGAGTCACTCAGCTGGTTTCTGGATTTTCAGAAGGACTTGCTCTTCCCTGAGCCTCAGAGGAGGGGTGTTCAGGCACCTTGGTTGCAAAAACAAAACAAAACAAAAAACATTTTTAATAAGAAAAGAAAATCACTCATGATCTTCAAGAACCAGTATCAACTATTTCCGGGTCAATTGCCCATAACCTCGAGTACTCAAGCTCTAAGGCTTCTTTGAGGAAGCATGTGGGATCGGTGGTACCCTGCACACTAGAGACCTCCTTACAAATGACATCAAAGTTCTTTCTGGCTGGGATGCTGTCAGCAGAGAACGCAGCCAACATAGCCAAGATCGCAGTGTGGAGAAGCACAGGAAGGAGGAGGAATGTAATTCATCTTTTTTCCCTTTGCTAGGTGCAGATGCATTAATTATAGTTCCCAGAGAACTCTTCCCTTTTGCTTAAAATAGTATCAAATTTTCCGTCCAAGTCTTCCATGAATAGAGGCAATTTGAGTTGACATTAGGACAGAGCTTTGGGATCTGGAGATTCTCGGTGAGGCTTCAGTCACCTGGGGCTCTCAGGCTTCAGTTTGTCCTCTGTAAAATGGGAATGAAACATGCTCATTCATTTACTCTGGGAGGTTTTAGAGAAATTATTTAAAGACCATTTCTTAATGTGCCAAGTAACTCAAGTGGAAGGCAATGGATGTGAGAGAATTTGCGGGAAGAAATCCATTAATACAAATTGAGTTATTTTCCGGGTTCTTTAGATAAGATACAGAATAATTTTTAGGCTCAGAATTATGACCATCTCAAGGCCCGTCTTCTGGAAAAAAGAGCTACGATTCACTTCTACTCCAGGCAACTTGTATGTAGGAGAGTGATTCTTGGCCCCGCTCTGAGATCTAAACGATGTGTGAATCCCAACTCAAAAACCTCATTTTACGTGTAAGGATCATTTACATTCTTTATGTAAATTATTATGTTATTTTTGTAAGAAGAGATTGGACATTTTACCTCTAGGTGAAAACTCGAACTTTGGAGCAGAGGTTTCTCATAAAATGACCATGGCTTTATTTTTTCCTGCAGACAAAACTGTGTGGAATTTTACCCCGTATTCCTGATTACATTGTGGATGGCTGGTTGGTATTTCCACCAAGGTAATTTTATTATTTATTATTTATTATTTCATTTTTTATTTAATTTATATTGTAAAATTTATTTATTTATTTTTTATGGTGACATTGGTTAACGAAATCTGATGTTTTAGCTGTACATTTTAACAGCAAGGCATATATATATATATTTACATTGTGTGTTCACCTCCCACAGTTAGATTTCTTTTTGTCACTACATATTTGACCCTTTTTACTCCATCTACCTCTCCCTCCCCCTCCCCCCTATGCCCTGGTTCAACCAAGGTAATTTTAAAATACAGCCAACTCTGTTCTAATGAGGTCCGTGGTTCTGAAAACTAGTAAGGAGCAGACAAGCAAGCACACATCTAGGATCCTGGAAATGGTTTTAAACAAAATGAGCAATGTCTGTGTGCATCAAACAGCACTGTGCTGCAGACAGGCTAACTCTGGCTTCATTCTAATTTAATTCAGTAATTACTTTTAAAACTTGGAATAAGCTGTATGTTGGACACTCCAGGATGAAAATGACAGAAAAGTTGTCTTCAATAATAATACTCTAAATTCTCATTTATCTGTAGAAGAGAATACAGAACTAACAATTCACCCTAATTATTACAGCTAATATTTACTGAGCACTCACTATGTGCCAGGTACTGTTTTTAAGTTTTATACATGTATTAACTCATGTACAGGATTTAAAGGATTAAAAACCTTCCTTTGAGAAGGAATTAATTCCTGCTTTTCAGATGAAGAAACTGAAGTACAGGGAGGTTAAGCAGTTTGTCCAACTGAACATTCACCAATGTAAGAGAAAATCAGCTTTGAAGTACAGAGCAGAGTCCGTTGGTATTTGACCCAACAAACCACTACCTTTCTTTCCTTGGGAGTTCCCAAGGGGATAGTGCTATTGTTTATAACAACTCTACAAACGCGTACTTTAAGCATTTTTTTCAATTACAGTTGACATTAAATATTATTTTATATTAGTTTCAGGTGTACGGCATAGTGGTTAGATATTTACGTAAATAATGAAGTGATCTCTCAATTAGTCTAGTACCCACCTGGCACTATGCGTAGTTATTACAGTATTACCGACTGTATTCCCTGTGCTGTACTTTACATTCCGGTGACTGTTTTATAACTGCCATTTGGTACTTCTTAACCCCTTCCCCTTTTCCACCCTACACACATCTCCTTTCTGTCCGACTGGGGTATCTTTGCTGAGCTGAGGGCTTTACCCACGCTCTGCCTGTCGTTTTCACAGGGGGTCAGACCAGAGCCAGCTACCTTAGTTGGAGAAATTCAACCCCTTTGGCTTTCTGATAACTCTCATGGCCTCGTTTGGGTTTGACCTTTGATTACTAAGATTTAAATAAACCCAGATCCAGCTGCTTTCAAAGGCAGCCCTACCATCTTTTTGTTGTCATTTTTACTATCGCCTGAGGAATTTAAAATAAAATGTCCTTTAGGGAGAGACGACTTCACTTTATTCCAGCTCACATTTTTGTCCCTTACGGGCACAAATGAAGGATGTCGTTCCTTGTCAGGTGAGTCCACAGTAACAACCCAGGAGAAAAGTGCCTTTTGATCCTGGGACTCTGCCATTCCACCTTTTGGCTTTCCCTGTAGTGGGCTGACTGCCTGTCAGGAAAGGATTTCTCAGGTACCTTTTTGTCATAATTTTCTCTTCGTTCTTCCTCATCCAAAGGGAGTTGCCTGTGAACTGCCCCCGAGTAGTTCTCGCTGGCCCGTGGGACTAATTCATTAGATCAGGAGTTGCAAAACGGTAGCATGCTCAGAGTCTCTCCGCTTCCCCAGGTGTCAGGTGACCCTCAATCCTTCTTCACCAGCTCCGTGCCTGGCGCCCCGCTTCTCATCCTTAAGGTCCCCAAGCGAACGTCATCCGCTCAGAGGGGCCTCCGCTGGCCCCTTCGTAAAGGCGCCTCCTCCAGTTCCCACCGTCTCGCCCCTCTTTATTTCCTTCACCGCGCTTCCTTTTTCTCCCTTTCTGAGTGTATTTTTCCTTTCTTTCTGTTTGTTTTAAACAAGAGGTTTCTTATTTTTATTTTTCAATTACGGTTGACATTCGGTGTTCTTTCATGTTCGTTTCAGGCGTACGGCATAGTGGTCAGACGTTTACATCAGTTACGAAGCCCCCCTCCGATTAGTCTACACCCGCTGGCACCACACATGGTTATTACAATGTGACTGCCTGTCCCGCCCATGCTGCACTTTGCTAGTGTCCTTCACCGCACTTGCCACTGTAATTCTCATTTCTCTCTTTGTTCCTTGTCTGTCTTTGCTGATAAACTTCACAGAGGCAGGCGCTTGCATCTATTTTGCTGCTAACCTCAGTCCTTAGAATAACACCCGGTATGCAGTAGAAACTAAAGACAATGTTTGTCACCTAATAACATAATGATTTTAATGCTATCCAGCATGTCGGAGCCCCTCAGATAGGATTCCAAGTGTGGATAAAAGGGCTCTGGCAATTTGCATCCGTGAGGAAGAGGGAGTTTCCTCATGTAGGGAAGATATCGATATTTTCCTTTGGACAGGATGGCAGAACATCATGCCACACTTTACGTCTCTTTTAGGTCAAATTTACTGTTAAAGAAATCCATACATCTTAAGTGGACCATTCTGTGAGTTTTGACAAGTATATATAACCTGTGTGACCCAAATTTCTATCAAGATAGAGAACATGCCCTTCCCAGTCAACTGAGAACATGCTTACAAAACACTGTTCTGATTTTTTCAGAGGCAAATGCTGTTAATATTTTTTTTTGGTTTTGCCCATTCTAGAACTTTCCATAATTGGACTCATACAGAATGTTCTCTTGTGTAGTGCTTCATACACTCAGCAAAATGTGTTTGAGATTCACCATGTTGTTATAAGTATCTGTTTCTTTTCATTACCGAGTTGTTTTCCATTATATGGTTATCACACTTTGGTTACCTATTGTCCTATTGATAGACTCCAGTTTTTGGCCATGATAAATAAAACCGCGATGCACATTCTGTACCAGTCTTTTTATGAACATGTGCTTTCATTTCTCTTGGGAAAATACATAGGAACGGAATTGCTGGGTCAAAAGTATGTTTAATTTTATAAGAAAGTACCGGAACTTTTCCCAAAGTGGCTGTACTGTTCTGCGTTCCCACCAATAACATATGAGGATTCGCTAATATTTTGAATTGTTTATTCAAACATCCTGCCCATTTAAAAAATTAAGTTCTTTTCTTTTCTTATTGGACTCTCAGAGTTCTCTATATATTTTGGACACAAGTCTTTCTGCTCGATATAGGTTTTGTGAGCATTTTCTCAGTTTTTATATCACAGTTTGGAGACTGCCATCAAATTCTGTATCTTCTCTATTTTTTTCTCTATAGTTTTTGCTACCTGTCTGGGTCTGGTGTATATATATGAACGTTACCAGTATTTCTGGGGATATTCAGAAGATGCTAACAAAAGGTAAGGAGAACTCAAGAATTGCCTGTTTTGGCAAAAAGTAGCAGGATGGCGTCTGAATTAGTTTCCTGCTCCTGGAGATATTAACAGCACGGATGGTCTTGATGACAGAGGTGATCCCTGTTGTCTGAGGCCAAGTCTCCTGAAGTCCATGTACGATTAGGTATGAGACAGGAAAAGGCAAGTATAAGAGTGTGCACTGAGTGTGTGCTCTGTGGCCATCACGCTCGAAATCATTGCAAAAATTCTGTACTATTTCCAAAAACCTACCAAGGAAATACTCGTGCCCAGCCTTAATCATTCCCCGAATGTTCAAAGGGGCCCATTAACCTCTGTGGCTGGCATCCCCTTTAATCGATGTGATGAATCGAAATTTTCAAGTGACAAAAACATGGGCGTTCTGGGCAGTGGCAGCAGAGAGCAGGCTGCCCAGGATGCCGCGCTGCCTCACCGTGGCCCCCTCTCTTCTCTCCACCTTACACCCGCCCTGCAGATTGACTGGTTTCCGGTTGAGTCTGGGGATTTTGGCCTTGCTGGCTGTCCTAGGCTCCCTGGGGATTGCAAACAGCTTTCTGGATGAATACCTGCACCTCAATATTGCCAAGAAGCTGAGGCACTTCTAGCTTTCCACCTCCCTTTGCTCGAATGTTAGCAGAAGATGTTTCAACTCCAAAGGTTAACCATATGGTATCACTCGTTCATCTGAAAAATAAATAAATTAAAAGTCTGCGTTTTGTGTTTCTCGAAAGGGCTTTGTAGCAATACACACTTTAGAGAATGAGTTTCCTGTTTGTTTAAGAACTGACGTTTGCTCTGAGGGGATAGATCCCTATCATGCGTGGAAGCACGCTGAGCTGTGGTTTTAGAGGTGCATGGCAAAGCCGTGGCTGCTCGTGCGGGGAGCAAGCAGCCTGATCCGAGCGTGGGGCTTTCTGTGGACCACTGCCATCACCTTCCTCTGAGACTGCTTCTCTCTTGATGGAAAGTTCCAGGCAGATGCTGATAAGGCATGAGAGCCCACTTCATTGGTGGTAGGAAAGCCGCAGTTGGCCGCACATGGAGGAAGTTAAGCAGACACATAGAGTAAGTAGCCAGAGAAGAGAGGCATCCACTAATAGCACAAAATAAATGTAGCTGTGAAAGGGACTTTATAAAGACAAAAGGAGTATCATTTTGAAAAAGGTATCATTTTCAAGGCACCATGCAGAGACCTCTGCTCAGTGAATGTTCTTGCCCCGGCAGGGGACGGAGGGTCATGGTCACTGCTGGGGGTCCTAGGCTGGGTTCCGATGCCCTTCCTGTGTCACCTGGGGCTTGGGGCCAGTGGCTATTGTGACCCTATGTACAGTCACTGTCTGGCACAATTGCAAATTGCTTTTCTTCACTTTATCTGTAAAATGGAAATGAGTCCACATCACCGTCCTCAGGGACTTTAGAAAAATGGAATTATGAGCATATATAACCCATTCTGACATCATGGACACAACTGTCAATTTTTTCCAAATAAAGTTGGCCAGCCTCGAATCTGGTGTGGACTATTCAAGAAGCTGTTCTGTAGATACAAAGGAAGTTACAAAGGCTACGAGTAATGGATAAAGAAATAAGACGTCATTGTTTCCAGAATGGGAGGGGACAAACACGACGGCCTCTTGCATCTCAAATATCAGTACTAAGTATCCCAAAGCATGCTGAGGACACATTGGTCTGGGATGGGGATATCTGGACACAAGCCCCATTGCCCTGACTGTGGCCGTTAGTCTTTGGACAAGGCACCTCGTCAGCAGAGCCCTTGCAGCAACGCGGTGAAGGCCCCAGAGCCAGGCAAGGCTAATTCTGCTCTCCTTGCTGGCTGTGCTCCCACAGCATC